ACATAAGGAATGTGAAGGATGGGGTTTGTTCCATTACAGAGGAACTGGCTGGCCAGCCACAGAATCGCGGACAGCATTTCTCATGTCAAGCATACCTGAGGAACACCCACTGTGTGTGTGATGCTCTCTGTCAGTCTCTGACATAGTAACACAAGGCGGTGTTTGGCAAATATGCGCTTCCAAGACCAGGTCCATGTCCAGGTCCAGCACAGCAGGATCTGCCTTGTGGGGATGGGTTGCATATTTTCCCATCTGATAGCAATTTTGGGGTTTCAGTCTGGCTGGCTGTGTCTCACTTGTATTCTGGACCATGTGGCATGTCCAGTAGCCTGAAGCCTACTATGCAAAAACAATAAGGGCAAAACAAAGGAAGCCAGTATGATAAGGACATCAGTTCAAGGCAACAGTGGAGACAGTGGCCCGTCCATTGTCTTCATTAGAACGTGCTTGTTATTGACAATGTGCGTGTGTGGTGTGTGTCTTTGTCACTGGGGGGGGTGGCGAGATAGCCACTTATGGGGGTAGGGCAATTTTGGCGTTCCCCAGTGTTCGCATCGAGTTGCATCGCACCCCCCTCCATTCTTGCAAGACAGGCCTGCAAATTATGCTGCGTGGGGGCCGTGTTTGCGCACGTGTCTCTGTTCGGGGACACTTGTGAAAGGGTGGGGATTCGGATGTTGTTCGTAGCCGGGCATGTTTGTAGGTGGTGCTGCCTACAGATGGCGTGGCTTTGTCTGCATACATCCCCGTCCACAGCACTGTCGCTGTGAAATAGGAGCATGTACTGTATGTTGGCCCAGTGCAGACTACACCAAGCCTTAATAAGGTTATTAGCTGTATCACCAGGTACTTAATCTATTTAAATCCTGGTACTATTTCTTCCCCACACTTATGCAGTCAGCGTACATCCTCCCGGTCAGAATGGGACCAGAAAAACCTTTATCCCATTAACCCCTCATCCCCCCCCCCCACATTCCGGTCCACACAGCTTCCTGCATGTTTTCCTAGAGCAGGCTGTCAAGAAATTATACCAGGAAATGGGAGGCATTTAAATAAATGTAAGTGTTCGATTCCCAGCCAAAGTGTGACTGTACAGGAACGTGGGTGGGGATTGGATGGGGGGGGCTTTGTCGGCAGATCTGAGGAAGCGAGCGGCTTGGTTGGGGGGGGGATGGGGGGGGGGGTGCGGGCACTTCAGCACTCATTGAAAATTAATGACATGGTGCAGCAGGTTTACAGTCCGCAATAAAGGCAGCGCGATGGCTGTTTCACAGGCGGTGGAATATGGCATAGCCCCCAGGCAGGGGGCAGGGGACAGGGGACAGGGGGCTGGCTTTGGACAGGAGGACAAACCGCACCGTAGAATGGAATGCAGGTTCCCTCACGCAAAACTCCCATAATGGCAGAAACTTAGTAGCCAACCAAAAATTTCCAAATATACAATATATATATATATATATATATATATATATATATGTCAAAATCAATGAATTAAGGAGCAATTATTGGTGTCAAGATTACTTTTGGTGACACAGGCTCTGGACCCTGGTCGAGCGGTAAATGCATGACTGCATGGATGGATAAAGCTGATGTGCAATGTGGAGTATGTGGAGTACCAGTCATCCAGACAAACTGGTAACGTGTGTGATATTGCTGACTTAAAGGGGCACGGAGGAGGTCAGCTTTTTTGCCCAGACAATCTGAGGCATATTGACTATCTCTACAGTGGGTGAAATAGCATTAGTGGAAGTCTGGCTGAAATGGAGTTTGCTGATTGGCTGTCAAGAAATGCTTTAGTCTTCACAATGTGTGTGTGTGGAAACTACCCCCCCCCGCCCCCCACAAATTCCCCCACCATGGGCACTGTCATATATATGATGTCCCTTAACAGTGATTGGTTCAGGCGGCTAAACAAGTGAAAGTGGAGATGCCCGTCGCTATGGCGACGCCGCTCCGCCCTCATGTGCCCGGGTCTTCGTTCGCCGGTGTGCGCCTCCCAGGTAACGTTAGCCCGGGTCACGCCAGCCTTGCCGTGCCACGTATCTCTCGGCAGGAAGCCGCAGCCGCAAACCCACCAGTGCGTCTGAGCGCAATCGCCGTCTACTCCCTGTTTACCATGCAACAACCCAAACAGCGACTCCTGCGACGCGCCGCTTCCCCGACCGCAGAGCCAGAGGAATGCGCCTGGTGTGGGTCCTGCGCGTGAGACCGGCATGCATGCGAGCTTGCAGCCTCACCTCCAGTTCCTGTTGTGAAAGCTCCCTGTCAGATGGCATGCGTTTGCGTTTCACTTTGGTTTTGTTTGCTGTTTGTGCAGCCCGGGATTCCAAAGCGGGTCGCTGTTTGGCGCCGATTCGCTGAACTCCTGTGAACTTTGCACCAGTATCCTCGCAGCACTTTCATTTCTGCCGTCCCTTCGTGAGCCTCCGACTGCGTCTGCTAAGGGGATGAATGCGAGCGTGAACGTCGGGACAGAAACGCAGCATGGCACATGGGACCCGCATTAGCTGGAAAGTCTGTCCCACAAGATCTATGTGTCTCACATCACAGTGCTGTAGAGGTACTGGGGGGGGGGGGCAAAACAGCGGTAAATAATTTCCTTAAGAATTCTGTCTTTGGCAGGGCCTCTTGTCAGACAGGATCATTTACAGACCCCTTTTTGCCAAGTACTTGTACGCAAGATGCTTGTGGTTAAGTGCCTACACAACACATCATTTAGGAGAGTGGTTTAGGTTGTCTGGGAGCCGGCCGCCCCCCCCCCCCCCATGAATGCCTTGCCCTATATTTATGGCTGTTCTCCTCATTGTCAGTCCTCACATTTCTTTCTGGGTGGTTCTTTCCTCCTCAGCCACCAGACAGTGTCTCAGCCCCAGCTCTGAGTCAGCCGGCGCCCTGAACCCTCCGCGATGGCAGGGAGAGACCACACCGCTCCTCTATTTCAGGAGCCGCTAAGGCTCGATTGTTTCATTTCTGGGGGGGGCGGGAGCACGGCTGCCGAGTCTGAAGTTCCCTGCCGATGCCGTCGGCTTCGGCCACGTCAGAACCCTGCAATAAGTGTCTGAAGATTTCCGAGTTCTGTGACGACGATACGCTTTAAAACATGAAATTACATTTCAATAAACTGAACATCTACTGGAAATTTTATGCAGTATGAGATTATTTGGAAAATGTATATAAATTACTTTTTAAAAAGTACTGTGTCATAAATATAAATAAATGCCATATTATTAGTTAAATATTTTTTTTTGTGACTGTCCTGGTCATTTTTTTCTGCAACTGTCAGTCCAAGCATTCCGTAGTTTTCTTACTTTAGAATGTGAGCTGTACTTGAGTAAATTTGGCCCTTCTCTCCACCAATTACTAATGCGAGTGATCGCATGCTCCAACTATCTGGAATTTCACACTGTGCTGGGGCAGGACTCTACAGGAAGGTCCAGGGTATCGGCACATTTGTGGGAGACACAGACTTAGTGACTTAGACAGAGTATTTGGAAATGTTACGCCTGCCTCCCTGTCTCGTGACCTGACATGGCGTTCCTCCTGGGGGTGGGGGGTTGGGGATCACAGCGGATGCAGGAGGGGACTGGGCAGGACTCCCACCTGCGGTCCTGGCACCACCCCAGAGCCGGGTGCGAGAGATGACTGCGAGCCAAAGAAAGCTTTCGTAACGCTTTCCAGGAAAACGGTCATGAGGTGAACGGTCTGAACTATCTGATGCTTGGACTCAAAAATGTGCATCAGCAGTGGGCTGGAGGGGAGGCAGGCTGAGTCGAGGGAGGTATTCGGGGAAGTCAGCAGCTTCTACGCCACAGCTGCATTGGCTGGGAGCCTCTCAGCACCTCTTCCAGTAATCGTCAGCAAAGCTTATTACTCTGGAAATGGCTTCATCAATGGCAGGCCCTTCAATAAATCCGCCGGGTCTCATCCCCAGAGGATGCAGGTCGTCCTCAGAGCCGCTCGCGTGGGTCTGCTGCTAAGTGACGGGGAATCCTGTCCGCTCTGCTCTGTTCTCTGTCTCAGTTTGCAGCCACAACGTCATTGCAGCCATGTTTGGCTTTTCCTGCAATTTTTTCTTTTTAAATTAATATCACCTCAAAATACAGCACAGGTCAGGGGTAGGCAACCCTGTTCCTGTAGTGCTGGTATCCAGCAGGTTTTCTATCCTACCAGATGAGTTACTATCTGCCTGTGATCAGGTGTGGCTCATCAGAGACCAGGTAGGATGGAAAACCTGCTCTGGATGCCGACACTCCAGGATCAGGGTTGCCTACCCCTGCTCTAGGTTAAGGTGCTGTAGGTTAAGTCTGGGGCCCTTTACCTTCAATGGCAGGGGCCTGTAATGCATGAGGGTACCAAGGCTGACGCTCTGGGGGCTCCATGATAAAGGGGCTTCAATCTACCTTGTTAAACAATATTTTAAACCTAGTGTTGCCCCCCTCCGATATTTTACAGGAACATCCCCTTTTAAAAAACAAAATGCCATGTTCTGTTTCAAACCATTATGGGACATGATTTGTCCTGAATTTTCGTCTCTGAACCAAAAAACTATTTAATTCAGACAGCAGATCTCCCCCCCCCATAGTTTTTAAAGTCTTGCACTCCGCTCAGCAAATTTTATCAACCCCCCCACCCACCCAGCTGCAAGCGATACCAGGGAAGTAGGGGGCCCTCAGAGAGCTATGATAGCCCAGGCGCCCCAGATCAGGATAATGTGCATGTGTTCGATGCAGCAGCTGATTATTTTTGCTAGATGTGTGTATGTGTTCAGTTTAACAGAATATAAAAAAAACACTCAATGATATCAGTTAAACCACATGTCTGATTTTTTTCCATGGCAGAACGAATGGAGCTGGGCAGAATGATACACACCATTCCCCGTGCTGGTAGATTCTGCGAAGGTTCATCATCTCTCTTCCAGGAACACCTTATCAGATTAGGGTTGCAGCCATCCAAAGCTCCACCATGACAAGGCGAGGCGATATTACTCAGGAGTTCTTGGATTTCTCAGCAAGTCATGATACAAAAGACAAGCTTAGCAACAAATACATTTACTTTCAACCAAGAATCTGCCCAATTTGGGGGAACTGCGAATCATTCAACCATGGAATCAGACCCAGGGATGTTAGCTGAACTCATACAGACACACAAATGTCTCGAGGTAGATTTCAAGCCGCAACCACAGAAGTGGGAAGCAACAGAGCCACCACTGAGCTACCGTGTGGCCCACAAGTCACCATGATTATTTCAGGCTACCTTCACCATGCAAGGCATGCAGCAGAGCTGAGAAGGCTAGCTGAGCTGCTGAACGGTAAACACAAGTGTAGTAAATAACGCTGCCTCCTCTGTGGGTAAATGTGTTGCACCAGCTACTGAGGGGGGGGGGGGGGTCGAGGCAAGTAAGGCGAGTGCAGACAGAGCTTGTTTACGTCCTTCGGCTCACTCTGCCATCTATGTTTCCGGTGTAGCCGTGTAAAAACCATATCTTGACATAGCTGTGAGCCCACATTCAAAGAAAAGCACTACTGTGGTTACTATTCTCAGTATTACTGTCATAATAAAACATGCAAAAAGTTGTGCCTCATATGATACACTAAAATGAACTTCTAAAACTCTTGGCTGCTGTGCAATAGGTCAAAGTGGAGTGTATTTCTTTTTCGTATGTAACACCTAAAATACAAACTAATTGCAAAATAACGTAGGTGCAACATGTTACATCGCATTTTTTTAATAAAAATTCACGTTGCATTTGACTTTCAAATTTCCTGCATTCGTGAGTGTGTAGCCATGCAAATATCAATGTGCATATTTACCATTCCAATGAAATGGGAAGTTTTGCAAAATGTCCACCATGCCCTTCCACCTCCACCTGTGCTTCCCTCACAGTATTATTATGTTGTAATGCTGTTTGTGTGGGCCTGAGTATTGGCTAATGGTGGCCTATCCTCCCAGGGAAACCCCAGAAAGAGGCTGTGACCTCACAGCCCCAAAATGTAGCAATGCCGACCGCCAGACGTGAAAGGCAGCGATGGGAGAAAATGAGGTTGAAAACTCACAGCTGGGGGACCTTCTGCTCCCAGTCAATGCTCTGGTTTCAGGGCTTCTTGTCTTACATTGTTAGTGGAAGCTCGTTAATACGTGATGGAGCAACAAAAAATATGTCAGGATGGGAAGCAGTAAGGAAAGCACAACATGGTCCAGTCAAAATGGGTCTCGTGACAAAATTCAGGGTAGGAGGAGCAGGCTTCAGGCTGCTTAACATAGTGAACCAAAAATGCTGATGGACCACTGTGATTGGTTAGCGCAAAAACATGAACGCAGTGGGTGGAATCCACCAGCAGCAAAGGGAAAAAGGAGACGAGGTGTGTGGAGGCACCCTGTGGCATGGAGCAGTGGAATGCGATGATTTCAGTTGCAAGCTGTCCCAAGACCAGGAGTGGGTGGGGGGGTGGTGGTTTCACTCCCTAAACCAAAGCAATGACTTCCTACAGTTTTTTCTCCACCCCTATCAAATGTGCTGCTCAGACATAAACAGAAAATACGAAAGTTTTCTCAAGAATTGCTCAATTTCATGCTCCATTATACCCATTCATCATGCCAACAGTCAACTTCCTTCTCTTTTTTTGGATAGTGATGCAACAGATTGGACTTCGGTCTGAATGGAAGTGATTCACAGCCTGTGGCTCTGCATCGTGGCAGGTCTGCTGGTCTTAAGAGGGTACGGTGCTTTGCCTGAGCTTATTAACTAGAGTCAACAACCAGTCCTTATCATGCAGATAAGAAATGTGTCCTATATGTCCATAGCCATTGACATTTGCATCCTCCCTCAGCAGTATAATGTAGATCCCGATGTCGTTTGTTTGGGCTGTGGTAGCAGTTTCTGTATTCTGCCCTAAAACAGTGAAGGCCAACAGCACAGACAAGAGGAAACCCAGTCTGGACACCAGCTCTTATAAAGGGTGTTTGTTTATTCATGTCTGACCTACTTCTCTCTTTCTGGGATCGTTTCCCAACAGGGACCAATGTGAGGTTGCCAGAGGGGCCACTGAGGGAAACACCAGCATGGATCTGGTCCTTCCGTGCTCATGGGCAGAAGAGCTGCAAACATGACCACAGTCAGTGCGTGACATAGACATGGCCCCAATTATTCCACGCTTGACTGGAGAGTCACCTGCCTGATGAACCGACTTGTTTTAAATTTAGTATTGTAGTAAACAATGCTTTATTTTTTTGTATGGCGCCCTAAACCTCACGCAAGATAAAATATCCAGATATCAGAATGTGCCATGCTCATTCATGGCTTATTCTGCTGTAGCGCGATACACATCAGCATCGAGTCATTCAAAACGCAAATTAAAACAAATGTCTCACACATGCCTGCATCTTTAAGGGTGCAAAAGCAAGGGACACTGTTCCATTACTGGTGTTACACCACAGCAAAATGAGGGCCCTTTAACTGAAAAGCAGATGTGTAGCCTTCCCCAGAAAGAGTTCAGATGGTGGCAGAGCAGCAGTCCCACGTGAAAAGAGTGTGCAGATCCTGGCTTTTATCAGCTGGAGCTTCCCCTTTATGCACGCCCTGGGTGAGAAGCCACTTCGCTGGAAGAGTGATAAGTGGTGGGCGTAACTTCTGCAGAAATTTAGTTTGAAGGCTGGTGTTGACAAGACTAGGTCTGGGGGTGTGGAAGGTCAAGCCTGGTTCTCCAAGCTGAGCGATGACGTCCTCCTGCTGCCACGGCTTGCAAGGGGCATTGTGCCCGGACACTATTCCATCATTTAAGTTACACGACAGCAGTGTAAGGGCCCTTTAAGTGACTGAAAGATGTATATGGGAGATTAGAAGTGCTTGCAGCTTCAGTCATGATGATGTACTAAGTCGGCAGTACTGAAAAAATCAGGTTGATTTACAGCAGTATTTCACAATCCGGTCCTTGCGGACCCGCAGCAAGTCCACACTTTTGCTGGAGCTGAGCTTTTGCGAAACACTCTTTTGCAGAAAAGGCTTGTTTGCATATATCCATTCATTCGTCCTGTCTGTTTTCCATAACCACTTATCTAATGCAGGATCACAGGGTTTCAGGAGCTTGTCCTAGGAAGCACTGGAGACATCCTGGCAGAGGACATCTGGAACGGGATCAGAGATGGAAAGTTCGGGTTCAGAAAGTGGAAATCCAGACCTAGATTTTGCTTCAACCAACCACTTGAGTATAAAGAATCGCATTCAGAGTACTCAACGGGTTGGTTGAAACAAAATCTTGGTCTGAATTTGCAATTTCCAAACCTGGACTTTCCACCTCTGGGTGGCATGGTGGCGCACATCTCTGGGACCAGGGTTCAAGCCTCTACCATGGCTCCATGTGTGTGGAGTTAGCATGTTCCCCTGCGTGTTGTTGTGGGGTTTCCTGCAACACGCTATCGGCTATTCACCCAACCGTAAGTCTTTAGGCTGCAGTAGGAAATTTGAGTGCCCACAGGAAACCATAAAGAACATGGAGAAAACATGTAAATTCCACACAGAGACCCAAGGAATTGGTAGGCATGAGGCTACAGTAGACCCACTACCCTGTTGCTTGTATACAACAAAGTGCAGAATGCACAGAATGTTAACTGATAAAGCACTACGGGGATCATTCAGAGTAAACAAACTTGAACAATTGACATATTTTAAATGTCAATCTCAATTCTTGTTTTGTGCCACCTGTTCTAAAGGAAACCAAACTTGAGATATTGTTGTTCCTTAGTTATTAAAACACCTGGACGTCATGCTGTACACTCATAGCAACTTAGAGGTAGCTGACTGAGAGCTGAGGCATTTAAGTAAAAGGTGACACAACTGTTACAATGTAACCTGTCCTTACCACTCTACACTTGCTCCAAGTCTTACTGTCCACAAACCACCATGGCTGCTGATATTCCATGGAAGACTCAGACGCCTGTTTTACTTTTTCCCTCATTTAGAAAAGTTGATGTATCTAGGGCACATTGGCACCGGCTTCCCTCTCAACCTCTCCCTTATGCCTTGGACTTTAGCTCAGCCTTGCAGAAGTATTTCTTAATTATGTTAGATTCCTGGCCACACCCAATTCACGGAATGTTTTTGTTGTTATTTTGATTCTGAGTCCGGGGTGCATACCTGTCAGGTGCTTATATATGAGAGAGAGTGAGGTTAGGAGCATGCATTGATTACAGCATGTTGCCACACGACAAACCACCTCAGGGATGAGAACCTGAGTGCAATGGGTGATACCTCAGCACCACACTACACTAGTCCAAATGGATACAAATTTTCCGGTAAGTTGGAGGAGCTCCTTGCAGGTCTGGATGTTGATTGACATCATACCCAGGACAAAGCAATTGCAGGTTAAGGGTTTTGCTCAAGGGCCCAATGGAGTAGCATTACTCCTGGCCCTCAAACCAGCAACCTTCCGATTGCGGGCACAGATCCCAAATCTCAGAGCTGCCACATTGGCCGTTATATAGGGCGGTCTGTAATTTTTTTTTTTTAATGCTGCTTTCTGGCTCAGATTTATGCCAGTTTATTCTCTTGGGCTTCCTGACCTCAAATAAACACAAACACTGCCACTGCAGAAAAAAAAGATTCTGTTTTTGGAAACTGAGGAGTGACCAGGCTCGTTTTGGAAAGTGATGTCATTGACTGGTGCTAATTGTGGGCAGACCAAAGTAGACTATTTGTAATAAATTGCAAAAAAAAAATACTGAGAAAAGAGAAAAAGCCTGGGGATGATACCTCATCTTTTATTAACTAATGATAGAGAACGAAGTTTTCTCTCATTTTTTAAGTGCAAGTAATTCCACAATAGCTGGCTTCTTGACTCCACATCAGCCGTGTTGTCTGTTCTGTGCTCTGTGATCTCTGCTTTTGTCTCCCATAAAAGGAGCCAGGCAGAAATTGGTGGAAAAATACAAATGACTGTGTCTTCTTGTGACGTTCTTGCTGTTTCTCTCTGACGCAGAGTCATGTTATGGGTCTCTTTCCCGCTCTTTGTATCACCGTACGTAGTCATGGAGATCCTGCTGCATGTCTGGGCTCCCAATGAAGCTGTCTGTCACTGGCGGGGTTTCCCACACTGGCCACTGGCTCATTAGTCACTTTTCATTGCCATTTCAGTCCCAAAGCAAAGGTCAGAGCTGTTATGGGGATATATTAAGCTTCATGACACACTGCAGATTGTTGTTCCAACTGCTTCTATTTTGTCACAAGCGAACACTATAACTGCAATATGAAAACACAGTTTTTCTTTAGATTTTCATTTAAAAAGTGCTCTGAGACAGTGTAACTTGGTAAGACTATACTCTACAGCTCCATACTCTGTGGCATGGAGGACAATTCAGGATCCTTACAGAAGAGGACAAGCAGTGAGATGGCCATCATTTTAATAATAGCACTGGAATAAGGGGTGATTTGAAACCCAACCATCGCCATAACCCCTCCCTCTTTCTCCTACTGCCAATTTCGTGGCACATGGGAAGGCGAGGGGGTCTGTTTTATTGCCTGCACATCCCAGGCTATGGAATAAGACCTGTGGTGGGGGTTGGGCACTCACTTACCCTCAAGCGGCAGGGGGGTCTGATACCTGGCCGGTTATGCGGCTGGCAGTGTGGCTGACTGCAAGGGCAGACAGCCCCAGATAAGCCCCTCCCCCAACATGTCTCCTTGGCAATCAGCTGCAAGTTGGCAGCAAGCTTTTGTAAACATACACACACACATATATATATGAAACCGGCCTTAGGGGTTAGGCCCTGCTGCAGTTCGCGTGCGTGCTTTGTGTAAAAATGGTGTGGTGCCTCCGTTGCTGAGAGGGGGGGGCAGCTGGGAAACTCCCCTTGTAATCTCTACTTCCTAGAAGGAGAACGGTCAAGAAAATCCAGCCACAGACAGCGAGGGCGCAAGCGGAACTGTTCTGCGATGCTCTAAGCCGGATGCTCTGCGCGTAAGAGGTCCTTGTTTGCAGAGCAGCCACGCCCTGTCCACTGCTCAGTGTGTGTATATGTGTGGCGAGGGTGGAATCTCAGGGTAAGTGATACGCAGGTGTAGTAGTACAGGTGCGTCATGACCAGGCGTAAGTGCGTCCGTCCCAGAGCCGGGACGGGATTGTTTGTACAGCGACGATGGGAACCTTATTATGAGTGATGGGGCAAAATTATTTCAGCATTACTAGAGTTTACTGTGTTATCCCTGCGCAGGATCTGCACCCTGTTTACTTGCCTGTCATTTAGCAGTGTAGCACTGCCGACAAAAGGCACATGCTAATGTGTGACAGACCAACTTCGTCGTTTCGGTTCCCTACAACAATGAAAAGCTGCTCTAGATGTCCCTCCGTCCCTCAGGCTTATTCCTCTCCCCCTATAATAATCTCATATGACTGCTAACATTGCTTGATTTGTAACAGGTAAAATAATACTCTAAGAGACCTATATTACTTTCTATGAAGGGGGTGCAAAGACGCAAATACATAGATGCATAATAAATACTACTGGCAGTTGGCATATCAAAGGTAATTTTTTTGGTCTAAGTATTGATTAATTCAAATATAATAGGTAATGCACAGCCATGAGCCCCCTGCACCAAAAATCCATGCACTGTGCTGGACTGGGGAAGTCAGTATGCATGCAAAAATAAAGAACTAATTATATATTATGACACATACGGGATAATTCGCTGTGGCACATATTGCAAGATGACAATTTGTAGAACAGAGCAATAATCGTGCTAATATTTATTTTTGGGAACATCTGGATGAGTCATAGTTTTCTGTGCTCAAATGATTCAAACATTGATCAAAGCAGACTCTGGTCAGCCACACCTAGCAGTGCACGAACAGTGATGTCTGTTTGCAGTCTGCAGTATCGGTTGTTTGAATAATCCGTTGTAAAGGAAGCTGTAAAATCCCCTGTCTGCTCCCCTTTAATAACAGCACTTCCTCTTCTGTGGTTCTTTCTAGAATCTGACCCTGTCGCTGCCACTACTCCTGGTTTAGTAGGTCACTAATGGCCCCGGCTCCTGCAGGGGGACGACCGCAGCTTTCCTTTCTCTGCGAGTTTGGGCCAGTGTTTCTCGACCCCCAGAGGGTCCACTTTCGTCCCCCCTCACAGCTCCCGTTAGGGCTGGTCTGAGAAGGACACGGCTCATCACCGGCCTCCTAAATGAAACTTAATTGCTTCCACATTTAACTTTGAAGCAGCCCAACTACTCGATGATTATCGATACATTACTAAAAACTGGGGGATCTGCAAAAGCAGCTCGATTCCCCCCCTCCCTCCCCCGGTTAGTCAGTGTGGGCTTGTGCACAAATCAGTGTGAATGTATTGTCAGAATATAACTGTCTGATCTGTTAATTGTTACCAAATGCTGGAATAACATTAGGCCACATTCCAGCCCTGCTGGGATCCACAGCTCTTCACTGCTAAGGGCCAATGCAACGGGCACATGTGCGTTTGGTTAGGGTAGCTAGGGGCATCACTGGCACAGTCCCTGCACCACACACAAAGGCATGGAGAGATGC